CGCAAGCTAAGATCGCGTCTTTGGCCGCAAGGGTGCCGCACGCCTTAGGCAATTCCAGCTAAGGTCGTGACAGCCCGGTACGGGCGGTACGTACCGGTCCGAGAGGCGACCGGTACGCGGACCGCCCCCTACCGGGCGGTACACGCAAAAAATATCCCGTATCGGTCGTTACGGGTAATATCGGGCGGTAACGATCGAAATTTCGACCGTTACCGCCCGGTACCATTCTGTAACGGTCGAAATTTCGACCGTTACCGCCCGGTACCATTCGGTAACGGTCGATTTCGACCGTTACCGCCCGGTACCACTCGGTAACGGTCGATTTCGACCGTTACCACACTGTAGCAGTGCTACAGTGCTCCAACGGTCAAATTGACCGTTGGAGCCCTTTCTCCTCCTATTTAAACCAATCTTCTCTCCCCTATTTCATTATACTCTCTTAAACTCTCTCTCAAACTTTTCTTTTCTCTCCTAAACTCTATAAACGATTTGTGAATTCAATTGAGGCTAATTTGTGAATTCTTTTCTCGCTCGGTCCAGAGACATGACAGCAACACGGACAGCAGTGCCTCGACAGATGATGGCGGTGATGCCGGGCAGTCGTTGGTCTCGTCTACACAACTTGAGGGTGGTGAATGGACTGAGGAGCAATATTTTACACATGCCACTCAAGATTCAGATCATGGAACTCGACAAGGTACTGGTCAAGTTTATGCGCGGAAGGGGAAGGGGAAGGGGAAGGCAGTGGATGAATATGAACAAATGCGACAGAGCATACATGATATAGACACAGAAAGAGACTCATCGTATTCACAGCAATCGTATTATGGAGAATCATATGGGCAACAACAGTATGGTGATAGTTGGTCATCCTTCTCTGAGCAACAGCATGATACAGAACAACATCAATATATGCCTCAAGAGCTGCCTCGGACAAATATGATTCATGACGATCAATCTACGATCAGCACCACATTGATGCATCAATGGCATACGGTGTATCAATACACTATGTCATGAGATCAATTTCATGATTGGGTCCAACAAACGTATCATATTGATATGTATCGGATCGAGGACCCTGATCCACCACCCGTGGAGGCCCGTCGTTCGTTTTGGTGGTAGAATTAACAATCAGATATATCTAGATATATGATTATTTAATTCATTTGAATTTTAGAGTTTATATTGTAACAAAATAGTCTAACAATTCAACTAATTTTTCTGTAGATATTTCAATCTATAACGAGCTGAAATACGAACCTCGAACAAGACTACCTCAAAGCCCGAAAAAGATATGTGATGCTATTCTTACCTAATTTACATTGATTTTACTAAACTTATACTATTACTATATTTATTTGTAACTTGAAAACCCTATCCTAACTTTTTTTTTAATTTTCAGGTATTTTTGGAGGGCTAAATCGGTGAAATCGGGTGTACCGCTCGGTACACCTCGGTATACCGGTCGATACACCCGTACCGTACCGTACCGAGCGCGGGTCGAAACGCCGGTACGGTACGGTACGGCGAACCTTGGTGTTATAATTGATAGAAAGAGATTCAAAGGAAATAGACAGGGACTTGAAATTTATAAAAAAACATTTTCCATTTATCAAAATGGTCACAGATACACTTTGATATAAGAAAAACATGGGTTTATTTAATACTAGCTAACAAATTTAATATTATGATTTGTATGACCCTAAGATTTTTGTTTCTTAATTTATAATCAAATAAAATCCTATCAATTAAAAAAGTAAGTTATTGTCAGAAATAGATATCCACCCAGTTATTTACCATTATTTTAATTCCTAATGTTACAAGTAAAGATAAAAAATAAATAAAACAACCAAAAGTTTTAATAACATAATAAAACTATTAACTAGAAACATTTCAGTCCTTGTCATCTATAAAACCATCACATATCTTCTTTGTTTGTACATTGCACAGCCTATCATGTCTAAGGTTTAAAAACCATCTGTACCAATCTATAAATGCTAATATTTACAGGTCCATTAGCCAACTGGGATGAGCATGGGATGATTTTGCCTGGTTTAGATATAAGTATGCACATACTGCAATGACACACTAAAGTCTACATAGTAATATATTTGAGAGGACAAACAAATACATATTACTTGATTCCAAGAGTTGAGAAGACCATACCTCAGGTTCGGCATGTATGGGTTCCTTCAAACCCACTATTATAGAATCAGTTATTTCATGTGGATAGATTTTAAACTCGGTTTCTCCCACTCCTTCGATATGTACTTTGCTCGGAACACATACAACGATGGCTGCAGGAAGCGGTGCAGTGGGTTTTCCAAAGTCCGAAATGAACTCCAACACTTCCGCACCTATGGAGTTAACCTACAGCAACCATAAGCAATTAACATCTAACAAAAAAATTTGTTGAGAAGACTGAATAGCACACAATCAGAAAAAGAATAGTTAAAATAATTACTTCTTCAAGAGTGACTGTTTCAGCAACTGTGACCAAACTCTCATGCCCCTGTCTCTGATCCATGATGGTATGACCAAGAGCATCACTTTCCATAATAAATTCTAGGTTGTCAACAGATGGGACACTATCAACCATTGCAGCCAATTGTTCACTATCTTTCAACAAAGCATCCATGTAGCGAGTTAGTTCTCCTTTTGTTACACCAAATTCCTTAAGTCTTCGAACCTGATTCCAGGACAAACATAAGTCATGGAACATCATAAATGATGAAAAGATACAAGGACCAATTTCTCATCATTTCAAGTTAGATACATGATGCTAAAAAAGAAATGCCTTTGGAATAGGAAATTTTTAGTGTACCACAATTTTAAATGTTAAGGGGTGATTCACTAATAAAATCTAGAAATCATACATGTGCAGTACCACAATTTTGGTGCTGTGCACCACACAGATGCACAGTACCAAAATCCAAGACTGACAATATAGCCATCAGTTACTTGAGGCACTCAGCTTAAAATATGATTTTTACAAGTTCAATGAAGAATACAGCCTTAAATAGCTTGCAATAAAATAACATATATTATGATACAACATCTGGAAAGTGTAAACAATTAGTAATTTCATTACTGAACATGGATTGTTCCATCAATTATGGTTCAGGTATGTATCTAATCAACTGAAATGCATCTCAATGAGAAAACCAAGGTGCAAACCTCTTGTACAGCAACTTTAACAGCACTCTGCCAGTTTTTGGGTTCTGCTGTTACAGTGAGAGTGGTAACAGTGCATCCCTCTCTTCCTGAATCACTATGATCTAACTCGATCGACGTAAAAGGAGGATTTGAACTCTGCAGAGTTCCAACAACCAAATATAAATAATTGTAATTTCAACTTAAAGAAACATCTGAAGCAACAATAGGAAGTTCTAACATGAATAGGACAATATTTTTTTCTTTAATTCCTTTGTTGACGATACTTTGCCAGTTACATAGTATATATAAATCAGTATAGCCATTTGCGAGTTATAGTTCCATACTTCCATAGTAATAAAATACCACTAGAAGCAAATCACCAAGTGCTCTAGAACAAGATCGAAACATAGTCTATATAAGTCAGGAGAAGCAATAAAGCTTCAAAGGTGTCGAGTGTATAAAAGACAGCTACAAGGAAAACAAATATAACATAGTCCTGGCATAGCCAATTGCTGATTACACCAATCCCCCCCACCCACGACCGCGCATTACTTGCGCCACCGGTTTCTTGTCTTCGCCTGTCCCATAGTACTCATCTATCTCTTCCTCCTCGTATTCCACTTTTTTCCCTCCTCTTCTCCTTCTCCTCCTCCCCCTCCCCCTTCTTGATGCCAGCTGATATTGCCACTATACCAAGCGTTGATACTCCAATAGATACCAGACTGGTAGCGGTACCAGTCTGGCTAAGGACTGGTGTAGGATCCAGCGCTAAGATTTAAAACCATGGTATAAACTATAAACTTATAAAGTATTGCAACAACAACCAATTACTACAACAGCAATGATAAGACTATTCCCAAGTAATTGGGTAGGCCTACAAACTACTCTAGTTTCATTTTAGCTCTATCGAGGCAACCTCTGCAAATACAGTAAGCCCATCATGTTTCGCACTATTATTTCTACTTTTCTTTTTATCTCAATCTACATATGTAATTCAAATCAAGCATTGCACATGCTGACCAGACTAATTTGTGCTCGCCACATTGTGACACAATAGAAATGGGGCATACCAACCAAGTCCAGATTTGTCTATGCTGGCCAGCATAGAGAACATGAACCATGTTGGTATTAAGTTGAAACCTTTGCTTATACTCTAGGGCCCTAGGCACACTTGATTGTTTTCTTTATGTGTCAAAGCCACACAAAACAATTTTTTCTATGATTTTCTTAATTGGTGCTACCTTCAGTTTACCATACAATGGTATGCAACAATGTAATTTAGGACATGAAAAACTATAAATTACAGTGGCAAATGATTCAGTTGTAATGGTGATGGATTCATCCTTTGTTGCAATGCCAAAGAACCCAACAGCATTTATATGCAACCCAATACCCAAAATTTGAGTGAACAAGCAACATTGATTGAACATTTAAAATCAACAAGAATGAGCAGATCCACAATTGTCATCACTCAACTATCACTTTGTTGCTACTACAGAAAGGATAAGAATAAACATCTCAAAGACCAACTGTGCTCTTAAACAAAAAGCACGCTTCATGGTAGTAATTATCCTGAAAAAGGTATTGCTTCGAGAAATTATCCTCGATAACCAGAATAGCAATTACCTTATATCTAGTGTTAATCCGAAAGTGTAAAGCTGTCAAAAATATTCTTTTCATCAAGACATTACGCAGGTCTCCATATGTGCAAACTTGGCTCACAGGAATCTAAAAGAAAAGACAAGAACCATTAGAAGTACATATGCATCAAGTACAAATTTAACAGTAAGCAGAAAACACAAATTGTAGTGTCCACCATGCTGTACAGATCACAGGATGACCTTGAATGTCCAAGACAGATTTTCTGTATAATCCATAATTAGGAGATAGAATTGATATATATATACCATGTAAGAGATCAAGCTAGGTTTACTTGTAGAAGGAACAAAAGATTATCTATTTCAGAAAATAAAAAAGGAGCCAACCAATAGTGAAGTTTTTCTTTTATTAGAAAGTGAAAAGAAAAGAAACGGCAAGTTTTGGCACTCGATTCATCATTCTCATACTTACTTCATAACCTTAATGAAATAAGTCCACGACATATTCCCAGTACACGGCCAGATTAAAGGCACTGTAGAGTAGAGGTATCTGCATATAAGTTGTAAAATGAAATATTTACATGCCCAAGACTCCATCCCAGAAATAAACCTACACCTAGTGGGCATTTTCAGGAAATAAAAGGCCATATGTGGATGACATGACAAACATTGTGTTATGCCACTAAGTTATATATTAGATAAGATGATAATTTTTGTTCCCTTGAATCTTGCTTGCCCTTCAAGATTGTCTATTTTCCTTTTAAAGGTCAATATACGGGATTATATCTATGTGAATTGTGAATGGTTACTATTCCTCACTATAACATGAACTATTATTATGTTTGGTAAGCTTTTGACACCAATAAAACAATCAGCAATCTCGTCTCCCCAGCGTTAGTTCACAATGTTCTATTTTTTGTATAAAATATTCATTTTTATAGTCAAATATAAAAGCTTAAGGAACCATAACTATTATTAAGTTTTACGAGACCTACCATCCCCCTACCCGTCTCATGGAAACTAGATGCCCAACTTTTTCACTTTAAAATCTTAAGATGTGAATTGCAACCAGTTTCATAATAGAAATACCAGATAGAAACATTTTTTAAGACAAGTTATATTAAACTTGCTTAAAAATTCTAAAATGATGTCTCATTTATATTAGATAATTAAAGAGTAAAAAAAGGAAGGAATGCTCGGCAACAAAATAGAGGACGACAGTCAGCAGGCTGAAAAGCAATGTGAATTGCAGAAAGAAACTAAGGAACAAACTTATTAGCTGACAATTATGTGTTACCTTGCAGAACATGTTGAATGAAAAATTTTGAATCAACTCATGCTGGAATATTTCCGGAGGCTTAGTATTGTGATCTAATCCTGGCAATGACCACTCATGTTCTACAGGAGGCCTGACAGCCTGCCTCTCCCTTCTTGTAAACTGTGGTTGATCAAATGAGATAGAAGATTTCTCATTAGACAGACTACCAGCTAGACCTCCTGGCAGCTTTGGAACAAGGAAATTTGCCATTGCACCAAATGTACTGGGAGTATGAATGTTAGCCATTTCACTCTTTGCAAGAGTCTTTCCAAAAACAAACTACATCACATCCAAAATGTCAGTAAACATCTTACATAAAGTTCTTATACACAAAACAAAAAAAATGAAAAGAATGTTTTAATCATACCTCAATCTGTGCCTCTGTCTTAGGAATGTCATCAATATCCCCCACTAAGTATAGTGTGGCATTTGCAGGAAAATACCAGCGTTCATGAAACTTCTGGATTTTCTCTGGGTCCCATTTCTTGATTTGCTCTTCCAGTCCAATTGGGAATCTTTTGCTCAGTTTGTTTTCTGAATGCAAATGTTGTAGCAACTGCTAGAATGGAGTCATGATCAATATACTCTATGAATTTAACAATCTATCATACAAAAAGGACCATCTGAAACACTTAAAACTTAGCAAATTCAAGATCTACTCTTGCTCACCTGACAATCAATACGATACTCTATTGTGTTCATCATTTGCAATTCTGAGAGAATTGCCCTTCTCTCCTTCTCCACACGAGATGGAAGAAACTTTGGGTGAAAAGCAATCTGAAAATAATAAGCAGTAACCATCATAAAGTGTGTACAAGTGCACCAAAAATTATTTTCACACAAAATCTTAGCATGCAGCAATTCAATTCATGTTTCTTGAAAACAACTTGGTAGCCTTTCATTCACCATTTGTGAGAAAAGCATTTATAATGCCCTTTTGCACTAAAAGAACAGTCAATTATTATCAGGTGACAGCCCTTGTAAAAACTATAAAAGCTCTAGATGCAAGATGTAGAAATGCAGTCAACCAAATGTTCTTCATCTGGTGAAGATAAACAAGGAAAGCTATTTACCTCATTAAGTGCATCCAATACACATGGAACTAAATCTGCATCAGAGTCCTGAAACAAAAGTCAATTGATCACTAAAAACATGAACATCTTGTAAAAAAAGGTTAGACCAAGAAGGGACATGAAAAGTATCAAGAAATATAAACATTAGGTATAGAGCATATAAACCCATTATCTCCATGCTTCCAGAATGTACAAACACGCTAGGAGGTCGTAGAAACATCTAGCTGGTAGGTGAATCTAGTAGTTCATTAATGAATGCATTGCTCCCTATGTATATGAATGCTAACATTCCCCCATGTGCATTTATATACATTTTTCATGAGAAAGTAATAAAGAAAATATATCATCTTATTTTAGCACCAAAAATAATAATAGAAACAAAAATTCTTACAATAAATTTTAAATAATATAAGAACTTGTCAGGAATACTGGTGTGTGAAGCCAGTTCCCAACAACTTAATAAGCACCATCAGACCCAGGGCGGATAAGTGCAGAAATTGTAAAAATGTGTTATATCCTACTGATAAGTTTACATCCAGCTTCTCAAGCTAAGTCTTGCACAAGAAGTTACATAAACACTAACCATAAGTTCAATAAACCCATAGTTGTCAAGGAGTAAATGTTCGCTGACAAATACACAAGCTCCACAAACAAACTGATAAGGATCTTGAGAAATGGAACGGTCTTTAAATCGTTACATAAGAAAAGCATAGCAAATGCTTCTTTTAATAATATCATCATAACCTACTATACAACCATATTACTTATATACGTTGTTATCACATGATAATGTAGAACTGGCTTTCATTGTTCGCAATCAACAAAAAATTATAACATAATATATAAGGGAAAAAAAAGGAGGCGGTTGGATGAGTTATATGAAAAAAATCCAGGGTCAAATTTGTCAAATGCAGGGTTTTAAATTTTTTTCATATTTGTCTTTATCTTTTAGATTGTTTCTGCAAACTTAAATAGTTAAGTTCATGCACTAATTCATAGTACACAAAGACCTACCATTCAGAGACCACATACAACTGGCAGACTTTACAGTATCGTTAGTCTCAAGAAGGTCAAGTAAAACATTTTAACTTTTCTGAGAGATCGCTAGGGATCACTGACACGGAAGTGTCT